TCTACATCTTCATAAACTAAAATATAGAAATTGCATAGAAAACAAGAGCGAACTCTACATCTTCCTAAACTTTTTGCGATTCGAACTTGAAGGTGAAAATTGTTAAATATGAGTATTTATCAATCAAAACTTGAAATTTAAATTAATCAACTTTTGTAGTTTTGGAAAAACAAATAGTTTAATTTCTTAACTTTAATGTTGACGGGAGTTTAAAGTTTTAATAATATTTGAAAATTTTATTTGACTTATGATCGCAAATGAGAAGTAGCCGTCTGTAATCTTCTCTTCCGTTGCTATGGTCTGTAATGGGAACCTGTCTGTAAGGAGAGGGGGGAGCCACAAAACCTTGAACTTAAAACTTACACTCACTATTTTCTTCGAAAATATACGTGAGTTCCACAAAACCGAATCTGAATAGTGTTACCCTATTTCTAAGCAACTTCTCAATTAATATTTATGTTCTAACTTTCTAACCTTCACAGAGCCCACAAGTGCTGAGCAGGTGCTGAGTAGGTGTTGAGGTGCTGGAAAGGTGCTGAGGTGCTGAAAAGGTGTCAAGGTGCTGAGCAGGTGCTGAAAAGGTGCCAAGGTGCTGTGCAGGTGCTGAGGTGCCAGGGTGCTGGGTGCCAGCACTTTCCCCCTTGACTTTATGTTAAAAAAAAAAAATTTTTTTTTTAATGCATAGGTCTCCAAAAAACCTGGTTTTTCAGGGACTTCCCGACCTTTGATGGTTCTGATTTTTATAGCACACATAGAGGGGATCTTGATACACCTTTACACGAAAAAAAAATCTTTATGGCTCAGGAAAGGGGGGTCCCCTTAAACAAGACCGATAGTAAATGGCCGTTTTTTATCGTATTTCGTCCATTTGGTAGCAACAGTATTACAATCGTATTTCATCGTATTGTAAATGAGCATAAACTATCGGATACTTGAGTTTCAGGCCTTTTACGGCCGTTACTAATTGTATACAATACGCTAAAACAACAGCCATAATACGGTCACTACCAAAACGCTGATTTACGACTAATTGCGAGCGTAGACTATATAATACGACATTATACGTTACTGTTTTAGGGAGTTTCGGCAACTGTAATCATCTTCCTGAGTACTTATGTGTGTTTCTAAATTTTTCTGCTGGTTTCTTTTCTGATCAAATTGACGCTCTGAGCGTCCTCAGAAATATGCGGAAAAATAAATTTAATTAAGAATTCCTTGCGACAACAGAATGGCTGTTCTACACTTGTGAAATGCTATTCAACCAGAAAAAGATGTATGAGTAAACTGCAAACAACCATGTAGTGCAAACCACTTGAATACCAACGGTTGACAAAGGATAACAGTTGCATAAACACAGTGCTTTTCCTTGACTTATTTTCTATCCTACTCCATGAATATGTTGAAACTCTTAGAAAAATGTTAGGCTTCAGCTGAAATGGCGTTGTCTTATCAATGTGAGTGTGCTCATGCCGCGTGTATCAGTCACATCGACTGTTCTTACCAACTTTTCGAGTTTTATTATTTATTAAAGATCGTCTTACAAAAATACTCATCTGTTAGAAGACTGAGCTAGTATCAAAACGTTTGACGTCATCTGAAACAAGATACTCTGGTATATTCAAATCGGCTTTTTGAATAGTAATTGACTTCTCAAGAAAGAATTAATTTAATAAAAAAATTATGAAAAAGTTTGTAAGAGACAAAAGGCAAACTGTTCGAAGTGTCAATTTTGATGGAAAATTGCCAACATGGGTGAGCTATTTTGATTAATTTTATTTTTTTCACATATTTCTGAGGACGTTCGGGGTGCCAATTTGATTAGAAGACAAACTCGCAGAAAAATTTAGAAACACACATAAGTAGACTCACTTTTTCCTACTGATTCAAAATATAATATATCTTTAAAGTGAAATGAGTATTGTTCTGGTTGAAAACTGTTAATTACTAGTCGAAAACTTTGAAAATTAAATCTTAAGAATAGTCGACTTAGGATTTTTTCATGCGCTCCATTTTTTAACACTGTGAATAGTGGCTTATTTTATAACGCTTGAAAAACTGGATCGAATATGCAGTGAACAAAGCGCAGAGAAAATTTCATTAACACACTATTTAAAAGATAAATAGAATACATATGGGTATTTCAAACTCAACATGCAAGTAATAGAAGATTCGAACACGATCTAATCGACTGAACAATTTTATCTTAAATCAATAGTTCTATTATGAATATGTTGCCTCAACATAGGGCTATCAGAATAATTTTGAATCACTCTTCATATTTATTGACTTTCTATCGAGCGAATGCTCATATAGCTGGCTAGTATCAATGTCCAAGTACCCATTTAGTATGTCCTGAAGAGAGGTTCTGTAAACATCTATAATTCAGTCAAAATCCATCGAGTCCAGCATAAAAATTATCACAGACTCATGGCCCTTGATTCTATCTAGGATTCATTGAGATAGGATCTTCAAAAATAAAAAAGAGACCGAACCGCGTTCTTGTGCATCCTCGTCTTTTAATATTGCCAGGGGTCTTATAAAGCTATGCAAATTGTGAAAGCCGCAACTTGATGGAAATGACCCAGTGAGCCATGAAAATATAAGAGCACCTGTGGTTTTTTTCTACAAAATGCTTAGAAAAGCTGCTTCATGGCTATGGGGAATGGCACAGCGTGTATCTGTCGCATAGCAGGCGGACATAAATTTCTTGTATGAAAACCGACCTGTTCACTCAGGAATGCTTAGAAGTGGCGCGGAAAAGCATATTTAAGAAAAAGAAAATATTTTGGGGCAAAACGTTTTTCGACAAAAACTACTTGCAGAGACCCTTGCTTTCACTTTTTCAAGAAAATTTTTTCCTTCGAAAGTGTTATAATATATATTATTCAACACAGTCTAATGTGCTAATTCCGAATATACTATCTATATCGATTAAAGTTTTTGTGAAGTCAAAAAAAACTGAAAAATACCTGGAAAACCTAGATTTTTTTGAAGTCCACCATGCAGTTCAGGAATATTTGCGCTAACAGGGATTAGAGGCAGAGATGAGCACAGGATGACGTTTTTGTTTTGTCCTGTCCTGCCGCACCATCAACCCTCGTCTTGCCGAGCGGCAGGACAGGACACAGGACGACCGCACTGTCCTGTCCTGTGCTCATCTCTGATTAGAGACAGTAGATAGAAGAAGATTCTAACAAAATTTGGAAAGCTTCAGAGGTTGCATATGGCTGCATTGCTCATTTCACGGTTCTAGCCGTTTGAACAACACTATAAAAAACGTATTATTTTTTCCCAAAAATAAAACGTGCAAATGAGAAAAAATATTTTTTCCACTATATAGAGCTCGGCTTGAAGATTCAGAAAATGTATTCTATGGTCTGTCGAACAGCTAATTTTAGTCAGATATCAAGTTTCCTCTGTGACATCACGAGTTTCAGGCTCATTTTTGAGCAACTGGTTTGTCAGTTTCTTGGATGTGTGTAGCGAAGTTATTTATACCATTAGATAGACTATAGTCCTCCCCCCCCCGCCCATAATAAAAGAATCCCCCATAATAGAAGACTCCTTTCAGAAAAAAATTTGTCCAACTTTATGGAAGACCCTCCATTTAACTGATGATTTTTTTGAAAACTGAGAACTTTAATTAATGATTTTGCAGTCAAACATGTCCTGTTTGAGGAGTTTTGAGCTGAAAATTTCAAATCGGTGAGTTCAATACCACATTCGAGCTTTGAAAATCGTGAAAATTTGTTCTCAAATCTTCAAAATCACTTCGTTTTTCTAAGAAACCCTTGTTAATTAAAAATTATAAAAATACAAGAGACATCATTTAACACCCCCTAAAAAGTTTTTTCGCCTGAACATAACAGAAGACCCCGGATCTTTTATTAAAGGGGGGAGGGGAGTATTTCGAAATATATTTCCCTATTCTTAAACTTTGAAAGAGCTCAATTTTTTAATTTTTAGTCAAATGTCTACCTAGATGCACACTAAGTGGGTGGCGGGGGGGGGGGAAGGGGAGGAAGAAGGACATCAGTCATCCTTATCAAAACAAGCTTTTGCGAAGACCTTTTTAGATTTAATACGAATCAGTTGTTCAGTAGATTTCTCTAAGTGACAATGAAGAGCACGCAGGGATATAGATCAAAGTTGACAAGATAATGACCAAAATCAGACCCGTACCAGAACCACACGAATAAATTGTTCTCGTACATATCTGGGGAGTGACTCAATTTGGAATTCAAAAAATAGAATAAATTTAATTGATTCATTTTATATCAGAACTTACCGGTAACAACTGATGGTTTCTTTGTCGAAGATGGTTTCTCAGTAGTTTTAGATCCCTTTGACGAAGGAACACTCGATCTTGGTCGTTTAGTTGTTTTTTCTAAATATTTCGCAAAACATTTTATTTCTTCACAATATCAATTCCAACAATACGATTAACAACGAACCTGAACATTCTGCTGGTTTAACACAATCACCGTTGTCGTTAAGTACATAACCTTCTTTGCAATAACATCCTTCATTATATGTATCATTGTAACATTTCGCCATGGATGTAGTATCTAGATCATTACAAGTTTTTTGACATAATGTTCCACATGATTTGTATTCTTCATTTTCTTCACATGCCAAAGCTTAAAGAAACAAAGAGAAAAATTGATTTCTTCAACAAGCTATTAACATACGACAAAATTCATCATTTCGCCAATGCTCAATTGAATGAGCTTCTTTACAACAGAGTTCTGACAAAGAAGCAAACCATGAGCAAAGGTTAGGGCAATCATAACCATCAATTACACAACTGTAAAAAAGGGACAAGCAAGAAATAATAGATCGTAATATGAATCAATCATTTAACGAACCCGCATGTTTCTTCCATACATTGGTCATATAAAGTTTTTCGACGTTCTTGGCTGAATTTATTCAAACAAGAAGAAAATGGATTTTTTGTTGATGAGCTATCATTCAAAATATTAACGCATATATTATGAGCCCATCTCCATTTTTCTTCATCATCATTTGCTTTATTCATTTCAACTTTACATTTATTATTGACTTTCCATACATTTGTATATTTCTCCTTTTTTATAATAAAGCCTTTGCTAAATAAAAAACAAATAGTTTCAGATATCATTACTACACTATACCATAAAGCGCATATGTTATTACCTAGGATGACCATGTGCACTACAGACACCATCTAATCTTCTTTTCCATTTATTACCAATGGTTAAATAAATTCGATTACCTAAAAAGATTAGAATGATTAGGGATATCTACTCCTTAATAGTTTAATTCCATACCAAAATCCCATCTAACAATAAAATGAGTTCCTTTAATGATGACAAATAATCCAGCTTTATAAATAGTAAATGATGAATAACGTAAGGGTGATGCTGTTAATATTGTAAGAGCTGTATCATTAACAAGAATGGGTTTATCAGATACCAATGAAATGTGTGTTCCTATATGAAAAAAATATTGTGGTACAAGTTTTAAAACTATTCTAGATAATATACCGTCGATAGTCAAACGACTTTGTAATGAATGATCATGCTCACTGGTTACATTATTACTCAATATGAGAGTAAATTTTTTTGCATCATGTTTTAATCGAGCTGCAGTATATTCGCATGAACCACTATTAATTCTCAAATATTGTCCACTAAATGTTGTATAATGGGTATTTCGTAAAATACTACAGGTACGTGAACAATCCACTTCTGTACATGACCATTGTCCTGATACACATGTACTAAAAAATTAACTAAAAGGTAAGCAAATTTTGTTTCAATAAAATTACAAACCATTCATTACAATCTTGAGTAATCTTCGAACCATACGGAAATATTTTATCATTTAGTTTACATGAACAATGTTTAGAAAATACACATCTATTTGTCTACAAATAAACGCAAAGTTAACATTTATATTATTTTAATAAATAAACGTACGTTTTCATCGCGAATCATATTTGCTGGGCAATCACATCCTGATCGATATTTATGACAATTTTTCCATATTAAATGGTTCGAGCATGTTTTTGGACATGAAGCCAAACTTGTTTCCGTGAATATTAAATTATTAGGACAAATAATTTTCGATTTGTTACATTTGTTGCTATTACAATGAAATTGACCACGTAGACAAATACTAGAAAAAGAAAGAAAAAGAAGTGAAAAATAGAAATAAGTTTTATCTACCAAGTTGAACATTGACCATGTTTAATAATTGAACCAGGTTTATGATATGACTTTGTTTGTTCATCAAAACATGAACATTCTGATTCTTTGCTACATTTTAAAGGGTCACGTCTGTTTTGATTTGTATCGTAATAATTATTTTTAGTACAGACACAACCTGAGAAAAAAAAAAATTTTAGAAATCAATTGAATATTTATTTGAGATAAATCTTACCAGCAAGACATTGTTGTCTACACACAGAATTTAATTCATGTTCATCATCTCTATCCGAACAGGTGTTTAAACATGAATAAGGACATTCTTCATATATAGTTCCAGCACCACATTGACCGAAAACTGATTGACATTCATCTCGCCATTTTGTATACCGTCGTGGTAGATCATAACCAATCAAAGCACATGCATGAGCAAATATTGAATGCCAATAACAAGAAGCCCGACTGTTGATAGTAATTCGTATAAAACGTTGATCTTCGATACAAGACAGAAGAAGTCCATGAACATATGCACCAGATTTACAAACATTATCTCTTATTTGATGACAAAGTTGTTCCTAAATAATTTATAAAATGAGTTCTTAAAATCATAATCAAATTACATACAGCTTTTTCTCGATCGAATTTTTCTGGTACATCTACTTCTGAACTGCTGCTGGACATACTCTCATTAATTAAATAAGCTCGACTAAAAATATGCGTGTCACATGTTAATTTGCCATTTGGTAAACGTAAATCATTATCTTGATTGTAATCAAATGATCCACAAAGACCACGAATACGTTCTCGATAGAATGATTCTAATGTAATATAAACAGCATTTCCATCATAAGCAATATGCATGTCTTGCGATTCGATTAAAATGAAATGAGATGTTGCTTGACGAATAGTTAAATCAGTAGTTTGAAATGGAAGTTGCTCAAGTTCATTATTATTTAACTTAATAGAATGCATATCGGAGAGAGTTACCGTATTATTACCAAGAGTGAACTTCAATTGTCGTTTAAAATTTTTTCTTACGGATGCTTCAATGCGCAATTTTTTTATTGTATTATCAATATTCTAAATATTAAACAATATAATTAATTAACATAAAAGTAAATGGTAAAGTGATAATCAAAAGTTTTAGGCACGTTTTGTTTTTCAATTTTCTCTGTGAACGATCACTTTATAACAACATTCAACAAGTGATTTCGATGGTTTTCAGAATGGACTAAAAGAGTGATGCGCTGAAATTTGTGAAGGATACCTTCATATTTTCTTATGCAAGAAATTTTTTTTCTCCAGTAATCAAATGTTTAGGGCACATTTAATGTTTCATTAGTTTTTCCCTGATAAATAATTATATAAGACTTCTCTACATATATTATTCGATGCAGAACGTAATGTGCTACATTTTGGTAACAAGTATTTTTTGAAAATTATTAATTTCAATAATTAATTATTAATTACACTTAATTATTGTTAATTATCAAAAAAAAGAAAAATTTCGTTTCCAGTTTACGAGTACATCGATGGAAAGATCATAAAAAGACGATCCCCAAAACCACTGACCAAACTGGCTACTGATAAAATTTTTATTTTCCATTTTATCATCTTAAAAAATAGGCTATCATTAGAAACTCCTAAATCCAAAGTATAAGCTGTTTCGTACTTGCCCATGAAAAATACTACAGCATACAAAGATGACTACCCTTGATCCTTGATCGAAAAATCGTTTTTTAAAGATGTTATTAGTATTTTCTATTCTTTTCTCACCATTCGCTTATCGTACGAGTTCGGAGACGTCTCAAAAGATGCAGATATGTTTTATCTACAAGACTAGGTAACTCTTTAGCTTCTGTAATACCGTTCACCAACTGATAGTGCCAATATACGAAAATAAATGACGATTGACTAAAATGAAAGTTACCTAGTATTTTGAATCTAGTGGTGCTGGATCATGCTATCGCAAAGTGACTTTTATATTTTCTGAAAACTCTTGAAATTTCGCACTGTTTAAGATAATACTTCAATAGACTGAAATTTTCTTGGCGAAACCTAGTTCATACTACAAACGTTGATGTGTAATGCCCATCTGTATCCATTCTGATCGAAGATCACGACACCACAGACTTTATGTTTATCTGAATGAAAAATGTCACTTCAGATTCATTATCAGCATGAAATGTTGCGTATAGAAAAAGTCATTAGATTAAAAATAACACCACTCAAATTAGAAATGACATGTCAAATACAGATGACTTGAGAATGCCTCAAAGCATATGTATTATAAGGTTTCAATTTAATTTGCTAGTAAAAAGAATTAACACAAATTTGAATTTTAAGTAAATTTAAATTATTTTTCTTCATAATCGACTCTGTTTTAAATTTAAATTAGTCTTTTTCCTTGCGATACATCATGTAAGAGATCGATTCGATTTTTAGGAGAGGTAGCCGTTGGTCGAGTGTTTATTCGTCTAATCTCGAATATTACTAAAGTAGTACTTAGTATTTACTATTAATTATTTTAGAGTCAGTATATACTGCCTTTAAAATAATTAATAGTAAATACTACTACATTAGTAATTTTCGACAAAATATCTTTCGATCAAATAACTGTCGACGAAATATCATTCGACAAATTTTCGCTCTACTAATTGTTATTTGACGAAAACTTTTCGACGAATAAACATTCGACCAACGGCTCTCTTCTCGATTTTTACATTCTGTTTTTGTGTCAACCATTTTTAGTACAACATTTTCATTGAATCGATACGGCAAGGTAGCCGTTGGTCGAATGATCTTTCATCGACAGTTATTGTGTCGAGAGATGTTTCGTTGAAAAATATTTTGTCGAAATTTACTAATGTAGTAGAATTTACTATTAATTATTTTTCAGTCAGTATATACTGACGAGGGAACATTTTCAACTGATAAATCGCTTTCGAGTGCGGACTGTATGCATAAGGTAGATCGCAGCGAGGCATGAAAAATGCTAAAAGGATAAGTGACCTTAGGCTGTCTATCCAGAGTTATAGGCATTTTACTGGAATTTTAGCCTATGGCATGATATATACAAACACATCTAATGACGGCATTTTAGCCTGAGATTTTGCCCATGGACACGTCTATTTGTGAGCAGAAGGCTCTGAAAATTTCAGGCAGAAGAATGTTTCGTTCCAGAGATATTAAAGTCACAAAAAACAGAAAATTCTGGGCTTTTTGTGCGATATGAGTGATTTTTGGAACTTTAATATCTCGAGAAGGAAACATTCTTGTAAGCTGAAACTTTCAGGGCATTCTACTCACAAATAGACCTGTCCATGGACAAAATCTCAGGTAGAAATATCGTAATTTGATTTGTTGGTAAATGCCATGCCATAGGCTAAAATTTCAGTCAAATGCCTATAACTCTGGACAGAAGGCCTGAGAGCACTCATCCTTTTGGAATTTTTCATACCTCACTTGGGTCTGCCTTATGTACAGAGTCTGAACTCGAAAGCGATTTATCAGTTAAAAATGTTCCCTTGTAAGTCAAAAATAACTAATAGTAAATACTAGTATTTTAGTAATTGTCGACAGAATATCTTTGGACAAAATAAATGTCGACGAAATATCATTCGACATTCGACGATTCGTCTTTTCGATGAATAATCATTCAACCAACGGCTCCCATCTCATCGATATTAGGGGATATCAGTTAACGAAAAAAGTGACTTTGATCTTTGCCGTCAAAAATGGCCTACTCTTCGAAAATCACATTTGTGTTTAAAGTTTGACCAAAGGTCTGCGAGATCGGGGAATCCGAATCTACAATTGATTTCTTGACATTCATGAGTTTAATCATTTCGGTAGTGGAAGTCTATTTTTTGGAAATACCGTTGTGTTATATAAAGCTGGATGTAAAGTTTTTTGAGACGATGAATCTGAATCTCGAAGTTACTTTTCAAAGCTTTCGAGTTTGATTTTTCCAAAGACTTTACATAGATTTGGATTCTTCCACGACGAAAACCTTTCACCAAACTTTAAAAAGAACCATTATTTTCGAAAAATAGCCTTCCTTGATGAAAAAATCGAAATCATACATTTTCTGTTAACAGATCCTTGCTAATGTGAGGGTAACTGATAACTCATACTATCAATTTAATGAAAATACTGTGTAGATCATATTTTTTTACACGAATAGAATGTTAAAAAAAGCATAGATTTCTTGCATGAAACATGAAAAAGAAATAGAATAATTTAATTTAATTTCTAATTTAATAAGTTACAGAGTGAAAATAAGTTAAATTTCGGATAAACTAAATTTTGCTATAATTTAAATGCAAATTAAATGTAACGTGTGATAATCAAAATTTTATTTTAAATTAACAGGAAAACGACATCACTAATATCGATGGACATCTTTATTTTCTCAGGAAAAGACACGGAACCAAATATTTGATCTCATTTACAATCACTGAACTCTTAGTTTCAAAAGAACTTATTTAGCTTTTCTTAGATTTCCTTTCGTGTTTGAAAAATTGGGTTTTCTTCGAGGTTGGTAGCAAATGCATACAAAATTGTAAGGATTATGTTCATATTTGAGCTTTCTCATCGTAGCCTATTTAGATAGCAAAATGTATAGCATATTAGGAATCAGTGAAAAAACCTACGTTGAATCACATATATTTTTTCAAAACAGTGTTTTTTGATGAAAAAACTCGTATGTTCCTCGTCATCATTTTTTGTCAGTTTGCCTGTATACCCACGGGGGATCGAGTTTTCATAGAAAATGCATATTTCCAAAACATGTGAGTCGTCGTAACTTTTTTGTGTTCATTCGGAAGATGCTATTCATTTTATTATCAGGATAGGCTATGATGAGAAAAAACGCCAAGTATAGACTAAATTCTTACAATTTTATATGCATTTGCCGCCAATATCGAAGAAAATCCAATTTTCTCAAAAACAAAGCAAAGCCTTAAAAAAGTAAATAAGTACTTTTTAAACCAAGAGTTCAATAATTCTAAATGAGACAAAAAATTGGGTTCCATATCTTCTCATAAGAAAATACAGAGTTTACAAGGATATCCACAAATATATGCTTTAAGGCATGATTCAGTTATCTGTATTCAACGTGTCATTTTTAACTTGATTAATTTTACATTCAATGAAATAACTTTTTTACTCAATTTTGTATGCTGATTATGGACCAGAATCAATGAAGATGGGCATCACACATCAGCATTTGCCCATGGGCAAGGTTTCTCTAACAGAATTTCAGTCTATTGAAGTAGAACCTTAAACAGCGCAGAATTTCGAAGTTTTCAGAAAATGTAAAAGTTACCTTGAGATAGTATGATCCAGCTTAACTGGGATCAAAATACTACTATGGGTGCCAAAATGTGATGCATCTAGATAGTTTTTGAATATACCGTGAATGAAACTAGCTAGACACCTGTAGTTTCACCATCTGAATTAGAATTATGGAAAAAGTGAAGCTTTGATAAATTGTCAGGACTTTTTATTGAGCAAACAGGTGGAGTTTTGTTGTAGATTTCGATTAGAAGTTTTCTAAAACACTTTTTCTGAATTAACAAGGAGTTCCAATTTAGTAAATGGATAGCGAAGACGTTTCTCTGTCGATCGTCGCATGATTGATTCTTCTAGTTTATTCCACTGAGGAGTTATAAGTCTTTTACTGGAAGGCTTGAGATTGGGTAACTAATCACTGGTAGTTCTAAACGGCACTGAGTTTGGTGTATTCGTCTACGCTAAGTATAATAGTGGTGTTTGTCTTTAGTTTCAAAAGGATCGTACGTTGCTGAATCATGATTTTGTAGTTCAGACTATACAAAACGTTTAACGTTAGATGGAATACAGTAAAGTCTCTCTATAGTGGATACCAGAGTCCCAAGCAGGCCACATGGTCTGCCTGTGACAGGCAGGTCAGATCGAATCCTGCGCCAGGCCAGGCAGGTTGCTTAAAAATGGCAGGCCGCCTGGCCTGTCTAATTTGTTTTTAATATAAAATTTTAACCTTTTAAATTCGATTATTTTTAGAAAACAGATTGTGGTTAGTTAATTTTCAATGATGACTGTTTAATATGACAAATCATAGGAATATTTAACTGTAAATATTGAAAAAGGCAATAATCTTAACTGCCATTCTGACTGTGTCATCAGCAGACAAGAAGGACTATTATAATTGGTGAAACTGTTACTCTCGGAAAATTTCTTTCGTATTCTATGCAAAACTGTTAGAGAATGCTATAGAAAATGAACGTTCTTACAATAAGCCTTATCATTTGAAATAGTTAATAATCCTTGTCCATATCATATCCGACCTTTGATAATAATCAAGTCTGTTTAAATATCGTTATACTACTTGCTTACACAAGTGTTAATATTTTTTTATATGGATTTTTTGCACTACAATTTTTTTTGAAAACACCGACAGAAAACACTGACTACTAAAAAACAGGACATTTCAGGTGTTTTTGACTAACATTTTGTTGATTTCGATGAGAAAAAATACGGCTTGAATAAAAATAAACATTGGGTTATGAATCATTATTTAAAGATCGACTAGATTTATGTGTATATTAAAACATTTTCGAATCCGCAAAATGAAGCACATGTGAAAGTAGTTTCATTAGTGAGAAATAGTTTTATTACTGCACAATTGCATCAGAACAGATAATAATTTATATGAAATATATCTAAACACCGCTTTGACAAGCATAATATGATTTATTTTTAAATAAACTATAGTTTTTCTTATTGAGAACAATGAAATTTTAGCCGAAAAGGTTCAACGTTATGCCTCGGGAATAATCTTTCGATCTTATCAATTACGGATCACCTCTCTCAATATTTTTGATTATTTTCTATCATTCGTTTTCGAACCCTAGCTAATTCAGCTAATGCTGAACCATATTTTTCTGCTGCAGGTTTTGCAATTGTTGCATACGGTTTCTCTCTTGCATATATTAATAAGAGGGACATTTTGTCTATTGAACTCTTTTAAAATGTTGTACAGCAAAAAAAGACGATTTTTTTTCTTCAAAAGAAGAAATGCCTTCCTATTCCATTATTTTCCTATATACCTACATATTTCATTGTATATTAAATGCCGGGTAAAAACTTACACTTTCAACATCTCAACAATAATAACATCTCATTATAATGAACAACCAATAATCATGCTGAGCGTTTCTGTTCAATTTCGATCACCTCTCGGTGGAAGTGTTGTTATCGTGAAACAGGAATGATTTTTGTTACAATAAACTTCCTGAAGTTAACTTTTTTCCTGCTCTTAATCTCACTTAACTATTTTTTTAATGTTCACATTAGAGAATTCTGATTTTGATCATCTAAAGTCATTCTATCGACTTGCTGAGCTTTCAATAAAAATTAACAGCTAAATATATTTTTTTATTATTATGATATTGGAGCAAAAGAAAAGTAGACAGGCAGAGCAGGCCTTCAAAAAGTACACGTGCTTGTACCTCTGGTGGACATCTTTCGGACTTTTCAAAAGTGTCCACTGTAGAGAGGTATCCACTATAGAGAGGTTAGGTATTTTCTAAAAGCAAAATTGTTTTTATAAGGAACAGTCGATTTTTCTCGATATGTGAAGGTGTTAGTGAATAAAATAATTATACATTGCTAATTGTTACTTCTCTTTTCATCCATGTTTTTTTCGGAAAATGAACAGATGTTTAAATCTAGTAAAATTTGGCTACAAATTGTTTGCGAAGTAAAAATATTAAAATGTTAAGTTGGCCTTTGCTAAGTAAAATTTCCATTTGCTAAGTAAAAGAATTGAACGCTCAGTTAATTAAAAGTTTCTCATTAAAAAAATATTTGCTAAGTTAGATAATTAATCACTAGGTAAAAAAAAATTTTGTTAAGTAAATAAATCAAAATTACACTAAAACAATAAAATTCCTAAGTAAAAATTATTATTACTAAGTAAATCCGAATAAACGCGAAGTACGACTATCTAAGGTCAGAAGAATTTTACGATGGCTTGATGCTCGAGCCTGTCGACTACACGATTTTTGGAACCGGAAAAAAATGTTTTCAGACCCGGAAACGGGTCCAGCTTCGCTGCAAAAATTATTTTAAGGCTTGGTAAAAAAAATGTTCGATTCAGATCCTATCGAACCGCAGTCTCATACTGTTAATGAAATCTTTTGATCGGTATTCGATAGTCAGTTCGAGTATAAGGGACGCTTCTTCTCCTGTGTCGTCCTGAATGACAAGCGCACGCACACACTTCTAAGACAATTCTCACTGTTAGAGCCCGCCGAGTTCAAGAGTTTTGAACCCAAAACCCGATCCAGAAGTAGGAAAAAATTATTTTAAGACCCGAAGCAGAGAGAGTCCAGGTCTGGGTCTGAGGTTTGGTCCTAACCCAGGAGCTCTATATGGCGTATACATTTTCTCTCTCGCTTTCCTTCTGGCAACATTAAACTAATATCATTATATATGCATATTCCACCTATGTCTTCTTTCATTCTGAGGCCATGCGTGAGTAGTTGCACGTTTTCTTCGAGGATGTTCTGCTACTGCTAGTTCTATTTTTCTCTTGCTGTTTATTTTACATTCAATCTGTATTGTTTTCTCGAGTTTTTTTTTGTTTGGTACTTTCTATTGAGGTTTTACATTCTCTCAATTTTTTAAATTTATATTTATATATATCTGAAAGTTTATTTTGAATTAATAACTATATGGAAAATCGGACTTAACATTTGTTCAAGCTTCTTCAAAGAGTACATTTGCAACCATATTATTGGCATGGCTATTAGGTTGGTTTTGTAAACCCCATCTAGCAGCAAAGGATATATCTTTGGGTGAAAAAAGATAACGAGGAAGACGACGAAAAGCAACAAAAGCTCTATTAATACAATAACTGTACAATTAATTTTTTTACTTAGATATTCATATCTCTTTACTTAGCAAAAATTATATATTTACTTAGAGATATACAATGTTTTACCTAGAAAATTCAACTTTTTTACTTAGAATTAAAATCAAAAACTTAGCGAAAATACTTTTTTTGCTTAGAATTATTTTCAATACATTACTTAGCAAAAATTTTATTTTTTACTTAGTTTTTATTTAAAATTACTTAGCATTTAAATAGTAGCCGTAAAATTTTCCTGTCGTGGACAGTATTGGGACTTTGCAAAAGTGTCCACCACAGAACTATACGACGGTGTCCACTATAGAGAAGTTAATTTTCAGCGAAAATTGATAGCTGGGACTTTAAAAAATGTCCACTATACGGAGATGTCCACTATAGAGAGGTGTCCACTATGAAAGGTTTTACCGTGTTTTCAAGATATTTTCTTTCCAACGTCAGGTTATTTCAAACTAAAAACGAATACCACTGTAGGACACAATGTGAACGAATAAACCAAACTCAATGCATTTTAGACTCACTCGGTGTCAGTTGGCTGATTTCAAAGTTTCCAGTAAAACGCTTTTAACTTCTCGGTGGTACAAACTAGAAGGGTCGGTCATGAGTACATCGACACAGACGTTTCTTCGCGTTTCATTCACTAAGTTGGAACTTATTGTTAATTCGGAATTATTTTTGCAAAACTTCGAGTCAAAATTCACAACAAAATCTCACCTGTTTGTGCAATCGATAGTCCAAACAATTTAGCAAACTTTCATTTCTCCTAAATTTCCCTTTCGAATGGTGGAAATCGCAAGTATCTAGCTATTTTCGTTCACGAGATATTCATTAAGTATAGAAGTACATTATATTTTGACGCCCATAAGAGGCAACCTTCGTTTTAGTAAAGCGTCATTTTTGTCTGTATATAGACATTATTAATCGATGAATGGTATTGCAACAGTTCATGAGCTGCTGAATCTTTTGAAGAAAACATTTCTGCATCTTCTGAGAAGGCTCCATACTCGAAGCGATGAGGGAAGGTAGATAAACGTGCGAAAAAATTAATAATACTTTGAAACAGTCGACTTTTCGATCAAGGATAAAGAGTATTTACACTTGCAAACTTTGACATTTTCCACAGACGTATCAAGAAGAGCTAATATTTTGGATTTAAGGTATTCTAATGATGGTCTATTAATTCTGATAGTAAAATAAGAAATCAAAATTTTAGCAGCCGCCATTTTCGTAGAAAGCTGGCCGATGTTCTGGCGCATCTTCTCTTAAAAACTCAACAAAATAGTATAGAGCTGCCATAAAACGGATTCGTCTTATGAGGAAATATATCGAACTGATAATCAGCTATCCAAGTGATATTTTGCCCCTAAGTAGAACACAGGGAGACTAGAAAAATGGCTCAAGGATTTCCCCACATAGACCTTCATTGTAGAGTTATCATTGTTTTATTGGAGTTTCGGCTTATGGCTAGGTAATCATAGGAAAATCCAAAAGAAGGAGTATATGTCTGAACTGTTCTATATAAATAGGTCTTTTGCTCTTGAGTGTATCCTGAGAGTATCAGCCAAAGCAGATATTACCTTGTCAACGTATGAAATATCGAAAAGGAGATGGCTTTAGGATTTTTTTGTGAACCACGATCTGAAAAGAGTGTCGACATATATAGGGTAGAAATTTGCAGTCACTTCCCACTCTTCCACCACAGACCGTGACAGACCGCTTGAAAGAACTATCTCAGATCATGTGTAAATAATACCTCATTGGAATATATATGAAGTATTTTCTTGTTCAAGTTCTGTACTGTAAAGTAAGCAATGATGAAGAAATACGCCCTAATATACATAGAAAAGACCAGTTTTTAAGGATAAGGAACAATAGCTGCATTTTGTTTCACGTTTTAATCCCGCAAGGATTGTACTAACAGCTTTTTATATAATATTCAGTATTTCGAGAATGATCATCCATTTGGAATGAAACTTTCAGCATATACTTGAAAACAAGAGACCTATTTGGGGACAAGGCTGTGCTGAAGATTCCTTCTTTTTGATTTTTCTATGAATATCTCGCCATAAACCGAAATCGGATAAAAGATTTATAACTCCGTAAGAAAGGTCTACGAATAGAAACTCTTTCAGACTTTTCTAATCCTATTGCGTCCTACTTATGAGCAAAATGCCATTGCGATCGACAATTAACAACTGGACATGTTCCCTCCTTAGTATGAATGCAATCAGTTTGGTATAATTCATCACTATACTGTACTGATAATCCAATACAAATGTCATGCATAGCAAACATTTTAATTTTAAAATTTAATATATTTTGTAGAGTACAATTTATGCTTTCCAATAAGATGTGACTATCTTCTATAAATGCTCTATAGGCTCAATCGAACGCTATTGCTGTTATTAGTAATTTCTATGTTCTTTTCTTGTAGATTTTCTGAAATTAGGCCCTTCATTAACTTCAATGAATTGTAATAATTGAATCATATATTTTACAGAAGATAGTGAGTTCTTATTCGAAAGTATAAATTGAACGCTACAAATTATAATATATTTCAAAATTTAAACCTGTACTTTACATGGCACGTGTGTTGAATTACCACTGCAATGTAGCACAAAAAGTTACTATGCTGATTACACTCATACTGACACAAACAATTTTGAAGGAAGTCCTTTACCATTTTGTTTAGTTTCTAAAAGAGGATTCACCAGAGCACCGACGAAATTGGTCGCCGCTAAAATTTTGATTTTTGAATTTATCATCTGCAACGATAGATCATCATTAGAAATCTCTAAATACAAAATATCAGCTGTCTTACTTGTCTGTAAAAATGCAAAATTATGCCAATAGCACTACTCTCGTCACTTGGTCACAAAATCGGATATTAGGATGATTTTAGTATTTTGCACTTTTCTCTGTAATCACTCATTGGTTTCAGTTTAGAGACGTCTCAAAAGATGTCGAAATGTTTTTTCGACAAAATAAACTGATTCATTAAATTCTACAATGTGTTTTACTACTTGATAATCCTAATATACTAGCACAACCAAGAGTTGAGTATTGTGGCAACTTT